CCCATCTCACAAAGCCAGTGACTCTGGGCAGTGTACAACAGAGCTAAAACAATTAATAAATACCTAAAACCATTATCATTGTTAATTATTAAAAACATTAAAAACTATAAAAACAGAGCTAGTACAAAAAATAATAGATGGGGGGATGTTAATAATAACAGAGCCACCTCACTATTCACCCATCCCCTGAGGTCCTAGGCCTGCTGACATAACCAGGTCTTGAGGGACCTTCGGAAGCTCAGAAGTCATGAGGCCAACCTCACCTCAGGTTGTAAATTTATAGGAGAAAATCAAACTCAGTGATATTCCTAAGAAATAGAAAATCCTATGTGTATTCAATTCTTGTACTCCAGTTTCAATAGCAAAACAATAATCTCAGGCATCATTCTGCAAACATTTAATATCAATTTAGATTTATATAATTCTAGACTCTGAGAAAACAAATTTAAAAATCAAGATGAAATTAAAATTATATGAATATGAATTAAGGTATGTTTATGTAGGGAATTTATTCAAAACTGATCTGCATGAATTGTGTGATTTTTTTCTAAATGTTATTTTGTATTTGCATGTTGTTGTTTTTTTATACCTGTAAAATACCTGTATGAAAATATGTAATCCTCAGTACAGCTGCTTCATGTTTATTTAGGTGTGTTTAAATAATCTGGAGCATTAATCCAACTTCTTCAGGCTGCAGAATTGGACATTTCCCTGCTAGGAGTTGGGAGAATATAGCATTCCTTCTGCTGACATTATCACTTCCCATAAATACTGTGCTGTAGGCCATTGCACTAGAGTATCTAGATGTCATGTATTAAGTGGTATCCTAAGGACTAATACATTTATGTGGGCCAAAACTTTGTGGTTTCACAAAGATAAACTTAAATCATAACAATACAAAGCTGCCATCATTGCTATTTTACTTTACTATATTCAATGGTATAACAATCTTATAAATGTTCCTAATTATATTTACCAACTTTACCAAGTTTTAGAGGACAAGGGGTGCAGTTGATGGATTGATTGTGCTTACATATGTGAGCAGAGCTGAGATTTCCCTTTATTTCCTACATCTTTATGGGAAAAAGGTTTGCTGTGACAAGCCTATTTTAAAGCTTGCATTATAGTTGCCAAGTGCTTACTTTTTCATATGGAAGGAAATGATTCAACCAACTTTTGGCAATCATATCAATAAGATTGAAAACTATGGTCAAAAAGAGTCCTGAGGAGTACAAAAAGGGTTTTGGTCATCACAGATTGTCAACTCTTGTTTTAGAATGCTGCAGATGGAAATGTATCTGTTAAGAGAAAAACTGTTATGATTCCTCCTTGTATCATAAACTGTATTCCTGTATAGCTTCCTGAACAGAATGTTGGTATTTTCCAATTGTTCTTTGCACATGTTGATTAAACTTGATTCTAGAACTCTGCAAATTCTGAGCACTGCCCCCAGATTTATTACTGAAGGTCTTCTAACTATCTGGAGTTCATTTTAGGGATAGTGAGTGTATACAGAGGTGTTCCATGATGGTGAATCATGTGGTTGTTAAGCAAATTCCAGCAAATAACATCCATTGGGGAAGCTGGATTCACTTAACGACCATGTGATTTGCTTAATTATCACATGATTTGCTTAAAGATCGCCCCACTTAACAACCAGTTTTTCAGTCCCTATTGTGGTTGTTAAGTGAGGACTACCTATATATTGTTTAAGCAGGCCTACTAATATATTATATGGAAAATTAAATATGTTTTTCTTTAAGGAGGATTATAACTATGAAAAGCAGTTTATCAATTTACAAAAGCTTGTAGAGAGGGTATAGTAGAGTAGGTTCAACCCTGTCATCTCTGAGTAAGGCCAGAGAACTACTGTCTGAAAACCTGAAAATTGTTATCCCTGCTTTTACTGGACTAGATGAACTAATGGACCAATTTCTGGAAATAGATTTCTAAGTTTTAAGGATTGTCTAACTGGCTTTTTGTAAAACTGTTTTCTCTTAATTATTGCTTAGCAGTTATATTTCAAAAGAGGGCAGCTATAAAATTAAACAATTCTAGATCACATTGTAGTAGCCTTGGAAATCAGTCAAGAAAGGTCAGGTGGAATCAATAATTGTTGATTTTAAAAGTTGCTGCTAAAAAAATAAAGTTTCAATTGACTAGCAGATTTATTATGGGGTAAAGTGTATCTGAAGCCTAAAACAAAATGAGTTACAAATGTATTCATGATTGTCAGGGAAGGGAGAATGGTCAACCAGGAGAATGGAGGGAAGGGGAAGACAGGGAGGAAGCTGTCTTGTTATGTGACAATTTAGAAAACTGGACATAGCCATGCACTGGTGAACTGAGATAGGTAGTGGATGTGTGTGTGTGTGTAGATGGATGGACGGACAGACAGACATCACACACATACCCTGCATATATGATGATAAAAGCCCTTTATAAGCCTACAGTGAAACCTTTTGCTTCATTGTCACTTGTTTCTTTCATAATGAAATCTTGCCTTTGCTGTACCTTCATTCAAAAATGGGTATTTTAAAGTTAGTGACAGACTCTCCTAGGTTTTTGAATATTGCCTTTTTTTTTGTTTGTTTGGATTTAGTCCATTTATTTCACACAGAGTTTAATAGACTATTGCCAGCAAATGATGGCACTAATCCCAGTGGGATAAGATAATCTCCTAGAGTTGCTAGAGTCAGGCGGCATATACTTATTATGGATTGTCACATGGTCAGACAGATGTTTAGACTGGATTTGGCATTTTTATCCACCTATCAAATCCTTCCCAAGGACCTGGGATAGACAGATGTTTTGCTTGATGGTGTTAAGGGTATCGTCGCAGGATATAAGCTGTTCCAAGTAAAGCTGCCTTTTGCAATT